GTTAACTAAACTTCAATTATAGGTGTAAAAGATTTATACTAGATTGAATACACCAATACCACAAATGACAAAACATCTCTGCAAACCAATATAAAGACATCTTAACGAACGAAGGTGACAAACGATTAAGTGGAGCAGAGCCTTTGTACAGCAACCAATACACGAATCAAACTGCAGTACCACGTTCGAGATCCTCCTGAATGAAAACAATGATTAGAAAATGTCAAAGAGTTAAGCGCTAAATTCTGTGCGTATGCTCCAGAAGGTGTCTCCTCGCTTTAGCTTGCGCCCGCTCAATAGATAGAAATCGAGAACACGAATAGAGAGTGTTCTTTTGAAGACGAATTCCACGATTACATCATTAAACAGTCCCTCCAACGAATACCCAAGGCACCTCAATCAACCACACTGACAGTGTATGCCATATCGCGCCCGCTATGCTCCTTCGTCTGCGTCTATTGTTCCCTCTCAGCGTTTATTGTCCTCTAGGCTATTTCTCTCTCAGACCCACCTAGCATCTATCTACCTCACTTTTAGTTCAGTAAAATATGGGGGCGGCTCAACTTGGAGCAGAAGAGAAGTGAGTAACCATTTTACCTTGATGTCTTCTGTGTACTGTCCATAGAATTTCTCCAATTTCTTGTTGAATCTCATATTCTTGTCATTTATGTAATCAATAGGAGCATCAGGATCGAACAGACGGCGACGATGGAATTGTTCACGCCGTTTCGATCTGGAAGCAACGCCATTAGCAAAAAGAAAAACAGCAACGGAGCTGATGCAAAAATAGTGAAGAACAACGTACTGTCCTTGAACGTCCTGAGCAAGCTTTTCCATAGCTGCCGAAGTCGGGTAGTGAGAACCATGAATCAAAGTGTTCGCCGTTGGATAGAATTGATCAACACCACTAAATAATTGATTCCAAAACACAAACACAAACAGCTACTTCTGAAACTTCGGAACATTCACTCACACAATTTCTCGCATCTTCTTGTATGATTCACCATCGGGTTTCAAATTTGTGGTTAGCCGTGTATGTTGACGAAGTGTCATGTCCTCATAACCTGAAAATTGAAATCGTTCATTAAAGAGTCAGAAAATTAACTGCCGCTCTTCTTCTCTTTAGCGTTAGTCCCGCATAGTCGCAGGGTCTGTTAATAAATTAGCTGCCGCTACTAATTCAAAAATCAACAAATGATTCCACTAAGGCTCAACTAATGTTCGATGCAATCACCGCTTTAAGCATTGTCAAATGTCGGTTAAGAATCTCGATATTCAACATTTTTCCCATAAATAACAAAATGCGATGAAAATATAGGCCAGTTCACCCCAGCTAA